TTCCTGCTGCATAATAATGATCTGCTTATGCCCGGTATCTATGAGTATGCAGACGATAGCACAGTTGTTGAAAGATGCCAACCAAGTAATCGGGCTAGTCGGGATCAAATCCAGTCCGAAAGAGAAGCTATGGTAGAGCGTGTGAATCTCATACTACAGGCAGTCTCCGATTGGGGCGATGCCAATCTTGTGAAGTTCAACGCCTCCAAAACACAAGCGTGTCTCTTCACTGCAAAAAGGAGCCAGCTCACCTTGGCTCCTTCTTTCCGAAATGTAAAACTGAAATATAGCGACCGACTTTAGTTGTTAGGGTTTGAAATATCCTCAAATTTTAACTTCGGGCGGTTCATTGAGTCCAAGGCCAAAGCAGCTGCAAGGAAGCTGGGAGTCCTTGCAAAGGTGCGGCGATACTTCACGCCGGGACAGCTGCTTACTTTATATAAAGCGCAAGTCCGGTCGTGCATGGAGTATTGCTACCATATATGGGCTGGTGCTGCAAAATGCCACCTAGCAGCTCTGGAGTCAATGGAAAGGCGTGCTAAGAGGCTTATTGATGACCCGAATTTGGTTAAAACCAATCTTACCAGCCTCGAACACAGACGTAAAGTAGCCAGCCTTTCGGTTTTCTACAGGTTGCATTTCGGGGAGTGTGCGCAGGAATTACATAATTTAATTCCCCCCTCTGCCTTCCACCATCGGGCAACCAGACGTTCGGCCAGTCTCCACCCTTTCGTTGTTAACTTATCACGCATTCGAACTAAACGGTTCGCCACGTCGTTCATCATGCGTACAGCAAAGGAGTGGAATAAGTTGCCAGCATCTGTCTTTCCATCCGATTACTGTGTGGGTGTCTTCAAGGCAAGAGTGAATAGGCTTTTGTTAAGTCAGTGCGCTTCACCATTTTAGGCTACATCACCACTTACCATCAGGTGGGATCGTAGATAAGCGCTGGCTTAGTAGAATATATAAAAAAAAATGTTGCACTGCACTAATTTTCCCGCAAATCACTTATGACCTCATCAGGGTGTCCGTCTAGCCTTGACCACGGCGCCCAGGGAACTGATTTTCGATGACGCGGTAAGGATGCACCTGAGTTGAGATATTAGATTTATTATGCGAAGATGATAATATTTTTTTATTCATGTAGCTAATTATAGTTTTATGTTTCTAACCTTTTGTTTTATTCAAATATCAATAATAATAGAAAAAAAAATAACACGTTTGAGCTGAATTTTAGCTAGTTTTCAAGAAATCTATGCCTCCCGCGCACGGTACTAGCGGTCAACTATAGACGACTTTGGCGAGCTGGACATAGTATTTGCTTAGATAAAAATCCATTTTTTAGTTCAATGTTTCTTAGTACTTGTGGCTCTAGGAGACTTGTTTTTTATACTCACATGTTGCTGGGTTATTCTTTTTTAAGGAGTGTGGAATTAAAATACCTGTAATAATTTTCTAATATCTATATTTCATATTTTTGTGGGCCGCGTTTTTTTTTCAACTATAGACGTCGTTGGCCTGCAGGTTCTGGTCAAGTATAGGCGACTTTGGCGGTCAAAAGGTTAATTGCATTAATCTAATAATCACTGTTTCGAATTCTATACAGAAGTAAGAGAAATCATCATCACATTTTATCCCATTGGTTACGTAAGAGACGACTATGGGTTTTCTAAAAAGAAATCTGATGGCTTCCGGCAGATGTCGGTATAACCACCCCGTATATTCCGATCTAAAATATTCAGACCGGCGCCAGGCAACATTGCCAGAGGTGCTCACGTCTAGTTCTGCGATCGTCAGTCCTATGCCAAGCGTGACGCTCAAGGTGAATCCTTCCTACATCAGGAGAGATCCTTCCATGTTCAACTATGGAAGTTTACGGGAAGACTAACCGTTTCACGGTCCCATGCACTACATATAGGTTTATAAAATGATATTTTTTTATAGCAGAGGGGGCAAACGAGCATGCGGCTCACCTGATGATAAGTGACTACTGCCGCCCATGAACAACTGCAACACCAGGGGAATCGCAGATGCGTTGCCGGCCTTTTAAAAGTAGGCTCTTTTCTTAAAGGTCCCTAAGTCGTATCGGTCCGGAAAAATGTTTGGTGTTGGTCGATTACACAAGGAAGTTGTGCGAGGAAGAAAACTTCTTCTAAATCGCACAGTGGTGGACCGCCAATTATCCAGATGGTATGGATGGTATCGCGAGTTTTGTCGCGATGTGCGATGGTGAAATTGGGCGGCTGGAATTAGTCCGAACAATTCCTCAGAGCACTCCCCGTGATAGAAGCGATAAAATACGCAAAGAGATGCATAATCTCTACGCAGTGGCAATGAGTCAAGCCGATCGGAAAGAACTCGGTCGTTGACGATTCGAGCCGCTCTGCGCTGGATGCGGTCAAGTGGAAGGACCTGGCACTAGGGAGCCCCTGCCCAGAGATGGGAACAGTATTCCATGTGAGGCCGAACTTGCGCCTTGTAAAGTTGCAAGCGGTATGCCGGCATGAAATACTATCCCGCTCTGCTGAGCACGCCAAGCTTTTTAGCGGCCAATTTGACATTCTCTTCCAAGTGACCACGAAACTGCACGTCACTCGATATGTCGACACCAAGGATCCCGATACTGGCTGAGGCAACAAGGGGAGTGCCTTGAAACTGAGGAGATACGACAAAGGGGTTCTTTTTACCGGTAAACGCACAAACTTGTGTCTTCTGGGGATTGAACTGTACTAGATTTAGTCGACCCCAGTCTGAGACTTTGTTCAACAAAGTCTCGACTTCAGACACAAGTTTGTTCCGGTACTCGGCGACGTTTTCTCGAGAAATATTGGCACGGCCGGTGTATAAAGCATCACCATTGCTGTCGTCCGCATAGCAATGAATGTTACTGGTTTGCAACATATCATTGATATGCAGAAGAAACAGCGTTGGTGATAGCACGCAGCCTTGTGGAAAACCATCGTTAATGGACTTGTAATCGGAGCATGCACCGTCTACTACGACCTTGATGCTCCGATCTGCAAGAAAACTGGTGATCCAATTGCACAATTTCTCGGGAAGCCCATAGGAAGGGAGCTTCGAAAGAAGCGCCTTGTGCCAAACCCGATCGAAGGCCTTCGCAATGTCCAGACTAACAGCCAACGCCTCCCCCTTGGACTCTACTGCCTCCGCCCATCTATGGGTCAGGTAGACCAGAAGATCACCAGCTGATCGACCCCGACGAAAACCGTATTGGCGGTCACTAATCAGCTGGTGATCCTCAAGGTACTGCATGAGCTGGCAGTTAATAATGGATTACCAATTTTTTTTATTTAACAATTATAATTATTTATTTATTTAAACTAACAACTATCATGACAGGAATAACCTAATGCGAAAGTGTAGTTATTCTCATGCATAGCAAAAATGTGGTAATTAACTGTAACAAATTGTAAACAATCCTATCCTAGTGAATTCACTCAAGGTGCAACAGAATAGATCACTGTCTTCAGCCATTCTATTAAGAATGCGTAACGTTCGCGTTAAAAGCGCCTTGTCGAGTACATTGGTACCCGTCTGTCAATATGTCAATATTATAAAGTTTTCTTCTAAGCTTTTTAAAACCTGTTTTTTTTTTAAATTATGAAACAGAAACAGAAACTTTTTTATTCAACATAGATTATAAATAATACTTATTGAAAGTCACTCTTTTGTTTGATTACCACTGGTTCGGAAAAAACCTCTGTCCTGGGAAGAACCAGCAAGAAACTTAGCGGGACTTTTTTTTTTAAATAACAGCTTACAATCATTTTTGTTACACAAATTAACAACACAACAAATTAGAAATAGCTTGGTAGCGATCACCTCATTTCCAGGGGTTATTACCATCCATAAATTCTTTAATATTATAATAAGCCTTTTTATACAAACTTAGTTTAATAAAGTTTTTGAACTTTGAGCAGGTCAAATTTTGTATATTTTCTGGAATGTTGTTGTAAAAGCGTATATATCGCCCCAAGAATAAATTACTGACTCGATGGAGTCGAGTAACTGGTACTACTAGCTTGTGTCTGTTCCTAGTATTTACAGAATGAATATCACTTATTTTTGTAAAACTACTTTTATTTTTGTGTACGTACATTACATTTTCATAAATGTATTGAGAGGCCAAAGTTAATATATTAATTTCCTTAAATTTTTGTCGCAGCGAATCTTTAGGCTTTAAATCATAAATTGCTCTTATGGCCCTCTTCTGTAAAACAAATATAATTTCAGTGTCAGCTGCGTGTCCCCATAGCAAAATACCATACGACATTATGCTATGGAAATAGCTAAAGTAAACTAGTCTAGCTGTTTCAACACTGGTTAGACTTCTAATCTTTTTTACAGCATATGCTGCAGAACTAAGTCTGCTTGCTAGTTTTGATATATGGGGGCTCCATTGAAGCTTCGCGTCTAGTATGATTCCAAGAAAAATGGTGGTATCTACAAGACTCAGTTTCTCCCCATTTAAAATTACATTAGTATTTAATTGTTTGACATTTGGAGTCATGAATTTCATACATTTCGTTTTAGTGCCATTTACTAATTTAGATATAGCATTGTTTACTTCGTCATATTTTAGCAATTGTCGACTTAATTTAAAAATTAAAGAAGTGTCATCTGCAAATAATACTATATCATGGTTACCTTCTATTCATACATTTCATACATTTCGTTTTAGTGCCATTTAAATGCAAATTATTAACATTGAACCAATTTACTAATTTAGATTTGAATTTAATTTGATTGAAGTCCATACTTTCTGCTTCTCTCTTAAACAATTACTTACTTTGTAATTTTCTTTCTCCACATGAATGCTACTAACATGCACTTTGACTTTACGCAAAGGCAAATCAGTAAATCATCAGTACATTGCACATGAAACCCTCGTTATTTTGTGTCCATGGGCTACAGTAACTACTTGCCATTAGGTAAATTGTACCTTATTTTAATAATATCACAAAATGTGTGTATCTTACCTGTTTCATGATTCCCACTTTCTTCAAAATTGGAATTCTCATTTTCGAAATTCTCTTCCTCAACTTTAACACATTCAAGGCTAAACATATCGTCCTTACAATCATTTTCTATATCAGTATCACACTCTACTGGCCTGATATCTATATGACTAATTGGTGTGAATTGAATCTTATCTCTAGCCTCATGATGATTTGGTAGTGACTGAAACCAAATTCTTTTGTTAAATATGAGAAAAGACAGTGTAGTGGTGCCGTAGGAGAATCTATACTACCATACCATCCTGCAGATGTCGTAAAAAGGGACAGAGGGAAACTGAAACAGGAGATGGACAGCAGCATCTTCCTGACAACAACTACAAATAGTAATAAAAACCAGACAAAAGGAGGGTTACGAATAAAATTAAATAAGAATATAGATAGTTCATCCATCCAGAGCATCGAGTCTCAACAATTTTTCGAAACAGATTCACGAATGCTGTAAATGGAAAAAGATCTTTGTTGATTTTTGTTTACTGAGTAATATTGCATATAGATAATATTTCGTTTATATACAATAGAGTATAAAGAGCCGTGGTAGCTCAGATGGTTAGCGCTCGATGTAAGCGTTTTAGTACTCGAACAACCCGGGTTCGATCCCCGTCGGCATCAGTGAAATTGTTGATTGCAATTTTAAGTGCAGATTTACCACATGCTCGACGGTGAAGGATATCATCGTGAGAAAACCTGCATGTCCGAGAAATAAGAAAAAAAATATTTCAAAGAAATGTGAAGTTCGCCAACATGCATTGGGGCCGCACGGCGGACATTTGCTTGCCCTAAAACCTTCTCAGAAATGAGAGGAGGCCTGTGCCCAGCAGTGAGACGTAAATAGGCTGCAACTTTAACTTTACTATACAATAGAGTTAACAGTATAAACAGTTAGACAATTGGTTTTTGGAAATATAAATACTTAACTTACTGCAATTAGTAACATAGTTAGTAACATTGCTCTAACGTAAAAATAAGTTAGATTGAACGAAAAACTTAACTTTGCAGTAGTAAAAACACACTAACTAAAAGTATAATACCGTGGACCACGTAGTGGCGGAGTAAGAATATCCACTAGCGTATATACCTACCCACGGGACGAGTGTCGTAAGATGCAACAAAGGGAAACAGAAACAGGAGTTGGCCAACAGCATCTTCCTGATAACAATTCAGACCAATATAAACTGCGGTTGCCAACCTGCCGAGCGTGGCAGGTCAGCAACCGCAGAATTTCGATCACAATAGAGACTATTTATTAGCACAGGGCAGGATTATATTGCATGTTTAATGGATGGAACGGATAATACCATGGACCCTCCTGCAAGCAACTGCTCCAGAACTGCTTTGGTCTCAACAGCCTGTTGTTGTAATGTTCTACAACGAATGAGTCTTGCATGACAGGTGAAACAAACAATTATGGGCTCCTCATCCTCATCCATCTGAAAATATGAAAGCATGTCATAAATAAGGAAAACTACTTAAATATACAAGTTTGTAATAAAATCTGTTGGCTACCACAATTCTCTTCATCCTAATCTTACTAGTATAATACCACCTGATGGTAAGTGAGCCCATACACATCCACAATTTATCCCCAATTTAAAACAGAAACTTTTTTATTCAATATAGATTATAAATAATACTTATTGAAAATCACTCTTTTGTATAATTACCACTGGGGTTCGAAAAAAAGCCTCTGTCCTGGGAAGAACCAGCAAGAAACCCAGCGGGACCTTTTTTTTAAATAACAGCCTACAATTATGTATGTTGCACAAATTAACAACACAACAAAGAAATAGCTTGGTAGCCTAATTTGCAGGGGTTATTATCATCTATAAATTCTTTGATATTATAATAACCCTTTTTATACAAACTTAGTTTAATAAAGCTTATGAACTTTGGGCAGGTCAAATTTTGTATATTTTCTGGAATTTTGGTGTAAAAGTGTACACATCGCCCCAAGAATGAATTACTGACTCGATGGAGTCGAGTAACTGGTACTACTAGCTTGTGTCTGTTCCTAGTATTTACAGAATGAATACCACTTGTTTTTGTAAAACTACTTTTATTTTTGTGTACGTACATTATATTTTCATAAATGTATTGAGAGGCCAAAGTTAATATATTAATTTCCTTAAATTTTTGTCGCAGCGACTCTTTAGGCTTTAAATCATAAATTGCTCTTATGGCCCTCTTCTGTAAAACAAATATAATTTCAGTGTCAGCTGCGTGTCCCCATAGCAAAATACCATACGACATTATGCTATGGAAATAGCTAAAGTAAACTAGTCTAGCTGTTTCAACACTAGTTAGAATTCTAATCTTTTTTACGGCATATGCTGCAGAACTAAGTCTGCTTGCTAGTTTTGATATATGGGGGCTCCATTGAAACTTCGCGTCTAGTGTGATTCCAAGAAAAATGGTGGTATCTACAAGACTCAGTTTCTCCCCATTTAAAATTTAATGTAATTTTAAATGGGGAGAAACTGAGTCTTGAGTATTTAATTGTTTGACATTTGGAGTCATGAATTTCATACATTTCGTTTTAGTGCCATTTAAATGCAAATTATTAACATTGAACCAATTTACTAATTTAGATATAGCATTACTTACTTCGTCATATTTTAGCAATTGTCGACTTAATTTGAAAATTAAAGAAGTGTCATCTGCAAATAATACTATATCATGGTTATCTCCTACTATGTAAGGTAAGTCATTAATGTATACAAGAAACAGAAAGGGGCCGAGAATTGAGCCTTAAGGCACGCCCATTTGTACCATCGACCCGGGAGAACTCATACTGTTAATGACAAGTGACAACTTTTTGCGTTCTCTTAGTTCTTAGTTCTCGCGTTCTAGTGTTGAAGTTTCCTGATTAATGTTTCATGGTGAACACAATCGAAGGCTTTGGATAGGTCACAAAATATACTCAAAGCATCCTGTGAATTCTCCCATGCATTAAATATATATTTAATCAGCTCAACACCAGCATCAGTTGTCGAGCGACCCCTTGTGAAACCAAATTGATTTTTATGAAGTAAATTATTTATATTAAAGAAATTTAACATTTGATCAAGAATAATTTTTTCAAAAATCTTATTAAGTGTTGGTAGTACAGAAATAGGTCTAAAATTGGCGGGGTCTTAAGTACTACCAGATTTAAATAAAGGTATTACTTTACTTAGGTATTATTTTGTTTAAGTAATGATTCGGCGACGGCAGAAGAATTCAGTGACTTATTGGTTAATATCGGAATATCAGTAAAATATTTCTCAAAAACCATTGCAACGTCCTGATCTGATTCGGTTAATTTGTTATTAACACTTAACTGGTAGTTTGAATTGTGAGATTTGATCTTACCAGTTGCGCTATTAATTATACTCCATGTCGTTTTAATTTTATTAGAAGCCGTCTTAATTTTGTTGCTCAAATGAAAAAACTTGGCTATGGAGCACACTCTTTTAAATATTTTTGAATATTTTTTTACATATTCCCTAAATTCGACGCTATGATTATATGACCTTTCATGGTAAAGATCATATAACCTATGTCTGCTCTTATGGACTCCTATTGTCGCCCATTCATTAAATGACTTCCGACTGTTCAAGGAGAATGTTTTAGAAGTAAAAGTATTATTAAATTCATTGCAAATAAGCTTAAATAATGTTCCATACAAAAAATTTGGATCATTTTGGTATGAAAGTGATGGAAGTTTTTTCACTATGTTACTTCTAAATTTCTCCAAGCGACGTGCATTTACTGGAACAAACACAACTTTCTCATCTACTTGCTTTTTGTGAACATAAAATAACGAAACTACTTGTCCACAGTGATCAGAACTTAATTTTTGAATTATACATTTATGCAATTGCTTCACATTTGTAAAATGTTATCTATACATGTTGCACTAGATTGAGCAATACGCGTTGGCTCTAAAAATAAATTAAAAAGACCATATGATTTAAACAATGATCTAAATTTAATATTGATCCGTGGCGCAGTGGCTTAGCAATCAGTTGTTGCGCTGGGGGCCGCGGGTTCGAATCCCGCACGGAACAAGTATTCGTATGGCCTACAAATAATTGTTCCGGGTCTGGATGTTTGTCCTTGTGCAATTTATGTTTGTAAACTGCCTCCACGACACAAGAGAAAATCCTAGTGTGGGGGTAACGTTTTTTAAAAAAAAAATTGTGGAAGCTTCTAGGAGATTGATATTAAAGTCTCCACATACTACAACAGATTTATTATGTTTATTAAGCTTAGCAAAAACTTCTTCCATAATTTTTTCAAAAGTATCGTATATAGAACATGGGGGTCTGTAGACGCTCACAACAATGAGGTGCTCAAACTCAACACACACCATTTCTACAGTTCGCTCAACAGAGAGGCTCACAATATCTTTACGTTCTTTACATGACAAAAATTTACTAGCTAATATTAAGGAGCCATCTCTTAAAACCGTTTCTCTATTGAAAGAACTGACCACCTGGTGATTACTGAAGTTAAACATTAAATTATAAGCTTTTAACCAATGTTCAGTAATACATAAAATATGAATATTGTTGCTATATAAGAACAACTAAATTTCTAGCTCTTTGCTTATCATGCCTTGTATATTTTGATGTACCAGGTGTAAGCAATTTACATTATCACTCTGTGGAGTCATACAATTAAAGATTTGTAAGCTACATTCTAAATTATTTAAATTATTACAACTGCTAGAGATTACCTCTATTGTCTCATTTTCTAATTTAAATTACTTGGAACCGATTCCAAATTACATATTAAGTTATTATACTGCTCAAAAGGAGCAGATGTCTGTGTAGCCAAGTCCATGGCTGAGTATATATATACAATAAGATAGCACATATGCTATGTCTTAAAATATATTTAGAAAGGTAATACCTATCTCTAGTCAAAAATTTCTTAATTAAATTAAATTTATTATTATAATTATAACAATCAAAAGTCAAGTTTAAATTATTATTACATGAATAGTTATTCATTAATAGATTTAAATCATATCTTATTTTATTTTCCTGCGGCCAACCCTGTATGTAAGGCAATGTAAACAAGATAATTTTATGTACATTTAAAGTATTTAGATTGTCAATATATTTTAATAATTGATTTTTGTTTACATTGCCTCTTCTCCCAACAAGAATTATTAATGTGCTATTAGGGCAAAATTTACTAGCTAAAACTTTATTCATTATATGACTAAAGGATGCTCCTGGCATGCAATAATTACTGATCATATGTCCTTTTAAACAGTTATTTAACATCATGCCCAAATTTTTGCCTACGTCATCACAATACATAATAACTTTATTTTTTTTAATATTTACATTGCTTTTTAAGTATATATCCTTTGTCATGGCACTGTCATAAAGTGTAGGTGAAAATAATGAGGTCTTACTGTTAACTTTGTTATTTACACATATTGTCCCCGATGAACCTGGTATGGAGCGCTGATACACACTCTGATGTTTTATTAAGGAGTCAAAGTGCTCTTTTATCTCATCTTGAGCCGATGCATATTTATTTGATACAATTTGTAGGGAGTTTTTAAGTGATAAAATTGTTGAATTTAGACACTCTATATCAGTCTCATAACAGTGATTCATATTTTCCACCTCAATTTAATATATTTTAAGTTTATTAAATTCTTGCTTTTCTTTGCATACATTTATATAATTTCTAACATTAATTTTAGTTTTAATTAATTTTTGCAGTTTTCTGATATATTTATTAATTTTTATATATTTCTTTAATTTTCTTCTATGCAGGTAGTCCTTGCTGCTGTTCTTGATGTGACATAATCATCACCAGTCAAATCAAATGTTGTGGAGGGTTGCAATGCTTTAGAAGATTCACATTCTATGAGCTCGTTGAACAGACTTTGAGTTTGGGACACTTTCATGTTGTCTATATAATGTTTTAATTGCACAATCTGCTCATTAACCTTACTTAACTGTAACTGCAATGCAGCAATTAATCTGAGGGATTCCTCATATTTCTTTCTGCATTGGTCAAACTCATCGACTGTTCTCTGAAGTTGATCCCTTTCTTTTGAAACAAATGTATATTCTGTATGCAACTTAACCATGTCACTTTTTAGCTCAGTATTTTTAGCTATTATATTTATTATTTCCTTTTCATTGTCATCCCTTTCTTTACATAACAGCTCACACTGCTCCTTTGACGCCTTAAGTTCTTGAAGCGCCATTTGAAGTTGGTTCTCCAATTGGCGCGTTTTGGCGTTGCATGTATTCATTTTACTATTGAGTGTAAATAGCAAAAGAAAACAAAGAAAGAAAACCAAAGAAGCAGAGTAAGCAAATGACTGTATGTTTATTTACAGATCTCAAATTAAATTATCATGTAAATAATTCAAAATGAAATCCAGAACAATACTTACTTAATAGGTAAATCTTAAAATGTTAAAGGGATAACAAGAATTACACTTACAATACGTTTAAACGATGTTTATTACAGCTGTTACTTTTGGTTGGAACTTGGAACACTAAACACAATGTATGTAATTAAAATAGGTACTTCTGAGTTTTACTTATTTCACAAATACAAATAAGTCGTATTTAACAACTGCAACTCAAAATTGAGGTGGATATTATCAATTTACTAATTAACAATCAAAATGCAGATGTGCTGTCACCTCTGAGGACCAATACGGAACACCTCGCCTAAGTACAAAGGATGTCCGGTTCTCTACACTCACCATACACATCAGAGCAGAATTAAGCTGCTATTTTACAATGGTATTCTGTTTAGTCCATGGGACCACCCCAGTGCAGCAGACCCACCTGTGACACATAGATATATAGCTGCAGCATGACAATAATAATGTCCTATATACAGAATTTCGATCACAATAGAGATTATTTATTAGCACAGGGCAGGATTATATTGCATGTGTGTGTAAGCAAGCACATGTGCACATTATCCCCTTCTCAGACTTGTGTCCTTAGGAATACGAGAAATATGAGAGTGAGGGAATTTCTGTCTGTAAGCACATGTGCACTCCCCCATTTTAAGTCTGATAGAATGGTTTTTAGTGAGTGGAAGACCAAACCGGGGTGGATGTTGATTTCTTTACATAAAATCGCAGTAATATGTACTAGAACAGACACTGCGAAAAATTCTATGCAGCAGTGCAAGTCGCGTGGAAGAAACAGACACAGCTAAGCCCGTTGGTTCTTACTAGTGTTGCAAACAACTAAGTCTCTTCTAATATGTAGTAGGATTTAAGGCTAATTATTGATTTTCAGGTTCTGGTTGCACTATATTTAACGCTGCACTTTAGCCTAGCCCCGATCTATCGAATTTTATATCAGGCAAGGTATAATGTATTTCTCCGGCGATAAGAACAAATTACCGCAACTTCAATTTGCAATATTAAGAAATATTCACAAACTTACAAAACTGTTCGTCAATGTTTTGTACAAATTTCTGAGACTAGTCTTCTTTAATACAAGCATGCGAACATTAACGCATAAACAAATTCTACAAACTTCACTAAAGGCCATTCCTGTTTCCTATAGCTTTAATAAAATTGAATTCACTTTTTCATCAATAAACCGGAGTTTTCAAGATTATTAAAATGCAATAGGACAGGCAGTTTTTTTTTTTTTGGAGTTTATGGCCTGGTATCTAGACCTTTAGGCCAAGTCTTAAGTATTTTTATTCGGTTTATTGTAATTTCCCCACTCCTTCATAGTATACTGCTTCACAATATGTTGATGCGTCACATTGTGCAGTTCTTGGGAGATTTTGGCGGCAACTTGATCCAGCAGACAGCTGACAGTTGGCGATGGTATCTAAAGGTGCCTATGCAAACAAACAGCTTATCTTGAGAATCCATCACCATCAGAGCACTTGTTTCACTGTTTCCACTAATAGTTCACATGCGTAGACACTTAATACACAAAATCGCAACACTTTTACATATCAAAGTCCACTTCAAACCATTATTTAAACAATAATACAGGAGCAGCAAACCGCCGCCGGTCAATTTCCCGCCAAAACTCCAGGACAGGCAGTTACTATGACAGACTCACAGATTACTGTATACCAGTCTACGAGACAGACTTCCACAAACTACTACATGCATAGAAATAGAATTATTACGCATAGAAACGCAGTCTAGTACAAAAAACGAGCGTTAAAATGATAAGGGTATTAGTGTTCTGTGAAAATGATGCAAGGTCATTATGTTATGTTAGTGGACGCGAGTTGAATGTGCCTACGCTCGTCACACGCACACATATACGCCATTCAGTGATACCAGTTTCCGGCGTTTGCAATAAAATTGTGCAAATCACAATTTTTTGATTAATTTTAAAAAATCGATATAATAAAGATTACGTATTACGTACGAAGATGTATTTTGTGGGAATATAAAATGGAATAAAATAAACACGATAATGATGGTACTAATATAACTTTATTATACATATATTAATGGTACAAAAATGCAGACGTAATAAAATTTACGAATATTATTAAACACAATTAATTTGCTCGAATATCATAAGCACATCTTGTAATGTTTAATTTTAACCGACTTCAAAAAGGGAGGAGGTTATCAATTTGGTGTATTTTTAATGTTTTTATTTATTTATTTTTTTAAAAGAACGTTATCCCCACACTAGGATTTTCTCCTGTATCGTGGAGGCAGCTTACAAACACAAATTGCACAAGGACAAACACCCAGACCCGGAACAATTATTTGTAGGTCATACAAATACTTGTTCCGTGCGGGATTCGAACCCGCGGCCCCGAGCGCAGCAACTCATTGCTAAGCCACTGCGCCATGAAGCCGTCAGCTTTTTTTAGCTCAGAATTGTACAATTTCTAAACCAATTTAGATTTTTTTATTTGAAAGGATATACACACAGATTGATCCAATATACACGCTGAAATTTTAATGGTTGTTTTCCCGAAGCAAAATGATTTTGCCTTAGTAGTACAATAGATTTATTCAAATAAAAATTATTAGGATGCAAAAATGGCAGATTTACAATCTAAAAAAACAAAACTCGAATGCCATCACAAACCAATAGCAATATCTCGCAAGTAGATCGGGCGTGCAGGCTAGCTTATAGCGAATTACTATAATAAAGTCTGAAAAAAAATTCACTGGACGTAATGTTGTGTTACGTTTATCGCACATGCTATCGCGTGCTTCATACACAGTGAAGGGCCACTAATAAATGTTCATAACATGAACTCTCAAGCGTAGTGATACGACATAAATTAGTCTGGACGCCCGACTAGCTTGTGAGGTATTACTATTGTAAATCTGCCCTTTTTTAATTGTAATAATTTTTAATTTAATAAATTGACTCTACTATCGAGACAGTATAATTTGGCTGCGGGACAACAACCACTAAAATTTCAGCATGTATATACGAATCGATCAAGCTTACAAATTAGTGTACATACATATTGATAACATATATACATAATTTCTTTTTGGGAGTCGGTTAAAATAGGCTATGTTTGGGTCTAACGTAACATCTGGTTAATATTTGGGCATTCTTATTAATAATCTCTTGATGTTGTAAATAAAAAAGGTTTTATTCTATACTCTAAAACTGAGCCTTAGTCAATAAACAAAGCAATTAAAATAAAATAGTTGCGTTAAAATGGCGTCGCGATTAGCTGATCACTTCGTTTTAGTTTTAATTAGGCACCCATTGTTAATGTAATGTTAACACTTAGAGAAGTAGGTATCTATATATAAACATTTGAGTTTTACACAGAGCGTTGCGATTAAACGTTTTAAACACAAATAGAAAATAAATATTTTTAAAAGAAAATTGTGATTTTTTCCTTACAACTAGCAACATTTGTATTATGAAAGCTTAGGTAAGTATTTTTTTAGTTTTACATACTTATAATGAATTAAAGGTATAAACTTATATGTGAAATGTAATACCATCACTTCTTTTATGTTTATCATCACCGTTGTGACAATATTTTACAACACAAAAGGTAATTTTTACAATTCTTCGCGAGCTCTTCTTCGTAAGACGTGACGTTGCGCACTGACGCGTCGCTGAGTCAACTAACGCGGTTTCGCGTTAGTTTAACTTACTTCACTTTCGGTGCGCGTACTAGTATTCTATGCGTAATAATTCTATGACTACATGCATTAAATTATCTTTGCTACTACAAACTACAATTACACAACTATCATAGCAAACTATATAGAAACACTACGCGTACAATTACAATTAGTGTTGCCGTTTGGACAATCTAGTTTGTGGCTAAATAGAATAAAAAAGTGACCAGCTTTTAAAAAAAATCGTAATCGAAAAGTAGCTAGAAGTGGCTAATATCACAATATCCTTTGCCTACTTTAATATTCTATATTGATAATTAAATAATATACAAGGTTAGGGATAAGTGGGTTTGTTTAAAACCGGATCTAATTAAGTATTTATTAAAACTAACAATAATGTTTGTACGTATCTACAATTAAAATTTAGTAACTAATTGAATTATTTGAAAAAACAAAAAAATTAATAATCAATTTGTAGGTCTGCAATGTCATCTGGTAATTCTATAACCTCTTCGTCAATGGGTGATGATGATGTAGATGGTGTTACGATTTGTTTTAAAGGTTTGACAGTTTTTTTTTTATTTTTTTTAAAACCTCAGGCGGCAAAACATAGTTGTGACAATTTTTCTTCTTTATTTTTAATTGATTTCTAATCATTATTATAGAATTGAGTGTCAATGAACACATTCTATTTCTCAATTTATTTTTTTACAGTGTTCATCACGCTGAACAGCCTTTCTACTTCCGCATTAGAGTGAGGAAGGGACATTGCAGCAATAGCCAAGTCAGCTAATTCTCGAAATGTATTAACTCCTGCTGCATTCTTGTATTTTAAGACTTGCGCCCAGAATTTAACACTGTCTCCTGCAGTTTCCCATTCTATGAATTGTATAGTTTTCCATTGTTGAACAATTATATCTGTTTTTTGGTCATCGAATCCCAATTTTCTTGCTAATCCAACCAGTGCATGAGGATCCTTGATCTGTTTTAATGTGTTCTCTGGACTTAAGAGTGTTACTTTTGCTAGGATCTCGTAATTAGAAGGTATTCTGTTCTGAATTTCTTGTACCAACTTGACACTGAAGTCGATGCATCGTTTTTTGATATTAGAAATTGCTTGCGGAGATAAGTTGCTATTACTGGCATGAGATTCGAAGAGATGTCCCAAATGTGCAACTTGATCTAGATGATCTTCTACTTTGATATTGAGGAAATCTTTGTCTGTTGTTGCGGCGCCTGGTATTATTATTCTAACGCAGACAGATCGTAACAAGGTCATCAGAGTTTCTAACAGTTTGACAGGATCAATATTTTCACCTTCAAATACCTTAATGCCAATTTGAATGTCGTTTATATACGTCGGTACTATATGAGTGGAGTTGCGGAAACCCCGATCATAGATTACAACTGCGGCGCAGAGAGTGAGCGGACCGCGGTAGAGTTGCCTTCTCAGCAAAAGGCGGTAACCACATGTTTCTTTAAAAGAACTTAGTAGCTAACAAAAATTACCAGAAGTAGTTAGAAGTAGCTAGATTCGTTTTGGTGGCTAAAATAGATTTTTTTTGGCTAAAACCTTTGAAAATCCGCTAGATCTAGCCACAAAGTGGCTAAAACGGCAACACTGATTACAATACAACTTGAACTCGCTTGGCCAAATCAAAACCATAGATAAATATATATGTAGATCAAAACAAAACAATTCTAAGTTTTTACAATTCCAAGCATAGATAAATAAATATGTAGCAAGCCATTCCAAGTATAGCGCACATGACCCCGCCTAAGGGTATTAGTCATAGAGAAAAGTAATACATCAGAAAGTTCTCTTTGGGTCTTTGGGTAATAGTGTTCTATGTAGGAGTTTTGGCGGGAACTTGACCGGCGGCGGTTTGCTGCTCCTGTATTATTGTTTAAATAATGGTTTGAATTGGACTTTGATATGTAAAAATGGTGCGATTTTGTGTATTAAGTGTCTGCGCATGTGAACTATTAGTGGAAACTGTGAAACAAGTGCTCTGATGGTGATGTGATTCTCAAAATAAGGTGTGTCTGCTTAGGCGCCTTGAGATACCATCGCCAACCGTCAGCTGTCTGCTGGCTCAAGTTGCCGTCAAAATCTCCCAAGGGCTGCACAATGTGACGCACCAACATATTGTGAAGCAGTATATTATGAAGAATAATTATTATAATATAGTCTAACTTCAGGCTCAGAAGGGCTAGATCCCAGAGCCGTAAAGCCAGTTATTAAGAAGTTAAGAAGTGTTCTGTGCATTTTAATTAGGGATGTCGATTCTTTCCGAAAAAGATCGATTTTTAAATCGATCCGAACCGTAAGCTGAAGTATCGATTCACAAAAAAATCGAGGTCTAAAAGATCGATTTATAAAAAATCGATTTTTTTTTCATGTTTGCATTTATAATGTAAATATAAATACATTTTATAAAAAAACAAGAAAGATACCATAATAAATGATCTCTTATCAGTAAAGTTAGTTTTTTTAGTTCAGGGTATTCGATAATAACAATTATTTTTATTACCATATCAAAGTCAGATCAGGTATGAAAGAAGATATTTATTTTCAAAATGTATTTATTACGTAAAAAGTTTCCCAACGCTTCATATCTAAACTTTTTAAAAACAATAGTCTTTATTTGGAATCCAAGCAGTTCCGCTTATCACTTGCGATGTTGCCGGCAATTGAAAAAAGGTGCTCAAAAGGAACAGATGATCCCATGATACTCATATACATCATGGCTATGATGTATGTGAGTATCATGGAGTGAAGGTCGTGATAAATAGAGCTTTTTTGTTTTTGCCAGAACAGTATAGGATCATACTTCAGGTGCACAGCTGCCTGCGATAAATAGTGTTTAAATTATTCGTTTAAGCCCTGACTTTCCAGCGCAAGTGCATTACTGTGCTATATATACACAAAATATATATACACAAAAATAAGTATTTATTTCGCTAATTACAATTTTATATTACGACACAGTTAGTTTATATAAACAAATATGAATGACGCAATTTCAATCAACAAATACAAAAAGTCATAGACTACAAACCTAACTTTTTTTTTATTAAATGGAGGCGAAGCAAACTAAGCATACAGCCATCTGGCGAGTTTTTGAGTAATTAACCCTTTAACCGGCAACAACGTAATAGTACGGATACATTCAACTAATTGTAAATAATTTTACGGTTTTTACCAAAACAAAAAATCGAATGGCGATTTTCAAGGGTGAAATATCGATTCACTGGATCGATTCACTTCTGCACATCGATTTAAAAAATCGATCTTATGGGCCTGAAAAATCGATTCTTCGATTAATCGATCTCAGATCGCCATCCCTAATTTTAATCTATATAGTTTGTGATATTCAAAGACTACAATGTTATATGGTGATATTAATCAAAAAGTTTTTGTCATCAAAGATTTTAATATTTTTGGAAAACTCCGGTTTATTCATAAAAAAGTGAATTCAATTTTATTAAAACAATAGGAAACAAGAATGGCCTTTAGTGAAGTTTGTAGAATTTGTTTATGCGTTAATGTTCGCATGCTTGTACTAAAGAAGACTAGTCTCCGAAATTTGTACAAAACATTGACGAACAGTTTTGTAAGTTTGTTAATATTTCTAAATATTGCAAATTGAAGTTGCGGTAATTTGTTGTTATCGATGGAGAAATGTAAGAAATGTACTTGTCTGATATAAAATGCGATAGATCGGGGCTAGACCAAGGTGCATCGTTAAATATAAGTGCAACCAGAACCTGAAAATCAACAATTAGCCTGAAATCTTACTACATACTAGAAGAGACTTGGTTGTTTGCAACACGCGATAGAGCCAGCGGGCTTAACTGTTTTTCTTCCACGCGACTCGCACTGCTGCATAGAATTTTTCGCGGTGTCTGTTCTAGTACATGTTACTTAGTATTACTGCGATTTTATGTCAAGAAATTAACATCCACCCTGGTTTGGTCTTCCACTCACTAAAAGCCATTCTATCAGACTATTAAAGTGGGAGATTAGAGTGCGCATGTGCTTACAGACACAAAAATTCCCTCACTCTCATATTCCTAAAGACAAGTCTGAGAATGGAATAATGTGCACATGTGCTTGCTTACACACACATGCAACATAATCCTCCCCTGCACTAATAAATAGTCTCTATTGTGATCGAAATTCTGTCCGAAGGACATTATTATTGTCATGCTGTAGCTATATATCTATGTGTAACAGGTGGGTCGGCTGTACTGGGGTTGTACCATGGACTAAACAGAATACCAAGTATAAAATAGCAGCTTAATTGTGCTCTGATTTGTATCATGAGTGTAGAGAATGTTGTGTGTAGTGTAGAGAGTGTGAGGTGTTCAGTCTTGGTGGTTTAAGAGTTTTAGATCTTCCTCACATAGTATGTTTTCAATGCTCTAGAAAATTTTCAATATCTGTGTTGCAGCTTTTCCAGCAACACAGTATACTTTGGAATGCATATTCCAAAATAGGTGGAAAATATGTTTTATATATTTTTAGTATCATTTCTGGTATTATTATTTGTCATAGTTGCCACGCTAGGCAGGCTGGTTGGCATCTACAGTTATTTTATTATTCTGACCTGTTATGAGGAAAATGCTGCTACCCATATCCTTATGAGATAAAATAATCTAATTGTTAGATGACAAAACTGACCTGGAACTTACTTCATACTGTAATTGATAATAAATTAAAAAGGTTAAAACTTAAAACAGCTAGGGGATGTATATTGTTATTATCTTACATTTGAAACTAAGTGACAGTGGCCTAATAGTGTGTGAAGCATTACATCTCAGTCCTCAGAGGTAACATCGCATCTGTAGCCTTTGCTTGAAGTTCGTTGCAGGTGCCTATGGGCTGCAGCAGCCACTCACCATCAGGTGATTTGTAAGTTTATTTGTCACTTCAATATTGTAAACAAGTGATGTTGATGAAGAGAATTGTGGTAGCCAATAGATTTTATTACAAACTTGTATAATACTTAAGTAGTTTTCCGAATTTTAAATAAAACTAATTTTACGGATTTTATTGTGTATTAACTTGTTTTATAATCCCGATGTTTCGGGTGCTTTCCAGCACCCGTGGTCACGGGGGACTGAGGTGTTTGACGTCCTGCTGTCATAGTTAGCCCGGCTACCTTCAGTTTTTAATATTAATTTTTGGTTTGATTTATGCAGAATGAGCTTACAGTACCTTGAAGTCAAGCAGTGGTATACTTGGGTTTGCATTTGATTTTATTAATTATGGGATCCCAAGCAGATGGCAGCACCCATCCATCTTCTCTATTGATATTAGGATGTTTTTTAATTTCAATAGCCTCGCGAATCATCCTTGGAAGGAATCGGTGTTCTTTTGCGAGGATTTGTGGTCTATCAAATCTAATGTTATGGCGGGGACGATCTTGAACATGTTCACAAACTGCAGATCTCCCGATACGTCGGTGCTTCACGTCAGCTATATGTTCTTTAACGTGGCTTTTTATAGATCTTTTTGTTTGTCGTATGTACGAGAGACCACATTCACAATCTAGCTTGGAGCTATATGCAGGAGTGTACAAGCTGAATTGTGAATGTGGTCTCTCGTACATAGGACAAACAAAAAGATCTATAAAAACCCGCGTTAAAGAACATATAGCTGACGTGAAGCACCGACGTATCGGGAAGTCTGCAGTTTGTGAACATGTTCAAGATCGTCCCCGCCATTACATTAGATTTGATAGACCACAAATCCTCACAAAAGAACGTATTGAAATCGACGTCGACGTATTGAGATTAAAAAACATCCTAATTTCAATAGAGAAGATGGATGGGTGCTGCCATTTTTTTTTTTTTTGCTGTGGCAACCCTGGTTTTAAGTTGTAAAAGTAATTGGTCCCGATAAATTTTAATAATTTAAATATTGTAAATTCACCATATCCACCTCAATTTTATGTTATAGCTAATAATTACTGCCGCTTTGTATTTAATGTTTAAGAAAGTTGGTACATAAATATTATAACAACAATTTGGTGTTGGAACAAAAAGTGACAGGTAACGAACATTGTTTTAAAAATTATTGTAATCCTTATTTCATATCATTCCTTTTATAAATTAAAGATTTATTCTATTACTCGTGTTATTACATTCTTTGCGGGTTTCTTTTCGAATTGTTTTAACGATAATTTGATTTGAGACTTGTAAATAGAAAAAAAAAACAACAACTTTACATTAGCTTACTCTGCTCCTTCTATTTTCGATCTTTGTTTTCTTTTATTATTTATAATAAATAGTAAAATGAATACTCGCAACGCCAAGACGCGCCAGATGGAGAACCAACTCCAGCTTGCGCTCCAAGAACTTAAGGCGTCCAGGGAGCAGTGTGAACTGTTGCTTAAGGAAAGGGATGATAATGAAAGGGAAATAGTTAGCATAATTGCCAAAAATACACAATTGAAATGTGATATGGTTAAGCTACATACAGAATACACAAGTGTTATAAAAGAAAGAGATCAGCTACAGGGAACGGTTAATGAGTTTGATCAATGCAGCAAGGAATATGAGGAAGCTCTCAGGTTAATTGCTGCATTGAAGTTACAGTTGAATGAGGCTAATGAGCAAATAACACAATTTAAAACATATATAGATAACCCTAAAGCCTCCCAGACTCAAAGCCTGTTCTCTGAGCTTGTGCAATGTGATACTTCAAGAATGTTACAGCAATCTGCACAATAGACTTGACTGGTGACGACTCTTCCACTTCAGGAAATACAGTAAGGATTAATTGCAGTAAAACCAAATTGAAGAAGTATATAAAAGTTAATAAATACATAAGGAAAGTACAAAAATTAATAAGAAATAAGATTAATACCAAAAATTATGTTAATGTATGTAAAGAAAAGCAAGCATTGTTATATGAACTTAAGTTGTATTCAATTGAGGTGGATAACATAAAAAAATGTTATGAGACTGAAATAGAGTGCCTTAAATCAGAAATATTGTCACTTATGAACTCCCTTCAAACTGTGTCCAATAAATATAAATCAGCCCAAAATGAAATAAAAGAACACATATTGGCTATGGATAATCTGGTAAAGACTTGTAAATATAATGAGGAGCGGTTTGACTCCTTAGTTAAATATCAATGTGAGTGTCAGCGCTCAATGCCAGATTCTTCTAAGTCAGTGTGTGCTGATAATATTATACCACCACAAAAACTCTATGACAGTGCCATAGCAGAGGATATTAAAATAATAAATAACTCAAATATTACTAAAAATAATATAATTGTTTATAGCGATGACATGGGAAAAAATCTAGGCATAACTTTAAATAACTCTTTAAAGGGACAAAAAGTTACAAATTGCTGCATGCCTGGAGCATCTTTTAGTGACATCCTAAATAAAATTATTGTTACTAAATTTTGCCCAAATAGTACAATAATAATTTTTGTTGGTAGAAGAGGCAGTGTCAACAACAAACAGTTATTAAGATATATTGAACAACTTAATAACTTAAATGTACACAAAATTGTCTTGTTCACACTGCCTTATATACAGGGATTGCCACAAGAAAATAATTTAAGACATAATTTAAATATACAAATGCATAATTTAATATCTAATAATAATTTAAATTTGACATATAATTCTAATGATAATAATCATAAATTTCATGTAATTGACATAAATAATTTAATAAAAAAGTTTTGGACAAAAGATAGGTATTACCTATCCAAATATAATTTAAGACTGATAGCAAATGTGCTATCTTATTATTTACTTTTTAACTCAGCCAAGTTTTTGGCTACCAAGACTGCTTTTATTGAGCAAAATCATTTGACATTTAATTTGGAATCAGTTCCAAATAATTTAAATTAGTGAATGTGACAATAGAGGCAATCTCTAGCAATAATAAGAGTTTAATTAATTTTGAATACAGCCCACAAATAAGTAATAAAAATTGTTTACACCTGGTGCATCAAAATATACAAGGCATGTTGGGCAAAGAATTGGAAGCTGAATTGTTTTTAAATAGTAACAATATACACATCCTTTGTATTACTGAACATTGGCTAAAAGATTATAATTTCATGTTTAATTTCAGAAATCACCAGGTGGTCAGTTCCTTCAATAGAGAAAAAAGTTTACGTGGTGGCTCCTTAATATTAGCAGATAAATCATTATTATATAAAGAACGTAAGGATATTGTGAGCCTCTCTGTTGAACGAACTGTAGAAATGGCTTGTGTCGAGCTCGAGCACTTCATTGTTGTAAGTGTTTACAGACCCCCATGTGCTACTTATGACCATTTTGAAAGAATTGTGGAAGAAGTTTTACTCAAACTTAGTAAACAGAACAAGTCTGTTGTAATGTGTGGAGACTTTAATATCAATCTCCTTGAAACTTCTTCCATTAGTATTAAGTTTAGCTCATTGTTTAAATCGTATAATCTTGTAAATTTATTCTTAGAACCAACACGTATTGCTGGGCCTAGTGCGACCTGTATAGATAACATTTTTACAGATGTTAAGCCCTTGCATAAATCAATTATTCAAAATTTGAGTTCAGATCACTGTGGACAGTTAGTATCACTACCTTACATCTGCTTGGGATCCCATAATTAATAAAATCAAATGCAAACCCAAGTATACCACTGCTAGACTTCAAGGTACTGTAAGCTCATTCTCCATAAATCGAACCAAAAATTAATATTAAAAACTGAAGGAGCCGGGCTAACTATGACAGCAGGACGTCAAACACCTCAGTCCCCCGTGACCACGGGTGCTGGCAAGCACCCGAAACGTCGGGAATATAAAACAATTTAATACACACAATAAAATCCGTAAAATTAGTTTTATTTAAATGTGTAGTGTTCGCGTAAATATAAGAAATCATTAGTTTTCCAAATTTATGATGAACTTTCATATTTTCAGATGGATGAGGATGAGGAGCCCATTATTGTCTGTTTCACCTGTCATGCAAGACTCATTCGTTGCAGTACATTGCAACAACAGGCTGTTGAGTCAAAAACAGTTCTGGAGCAGTTGCTTGCAGGAGGGTCCATGGTATTACCCATTCCATCCATTAAAAACTATATAAGTCCCACATGGATTGCTTCATAGTAGTGATTTTACCAAATTTGCCATGCTTGGCAGGTTGGCAACCGCAGTTCATATTAGTTTGAGTTGTTATGAGGAACATGCTGCCGCCCAACTCCTGTTTTTGATTCCCTCTGCCGCCTCTTACGACACCCGTCCCGTGGGTAGGTATATAGGGCAATGGATATTCTTACACCGCCACTACACGGTCCACGGTATTATACTTCTTATCAATAAAAGTTCACTGCTTGATGGTTCGTTCCCATTATTATGAAGTATTTGCCTTAATCATCTCTTGGCAGGCACCTTAATGAGCACTACCTGTCTCATGCCTTCTATACTGCTTCCTGTTACTATATGGGGTATTTTTTTTTGTACTGCAAAGTTAAGTTTATCCTTCAATCTAACTTACTTTTTCGTTAGATGTTCTATATTTTATGAATTACAGTAAGATAAGTATTTATTTTTACTAAATAATTGTCTGTTTATACTTTTATATATTACTCTATTGTATATAAATGAAATATTATCTATATGTAATATTACTCAGTAAACAAAGATAGATCTTTGTCAATTTACGGCATTCGTGAATCTGTTTCGAAAAATTTTTGAGACTTGATACTCAAGATAGATGGACTGCATATGTATCTACATTCTTTTGAAGTTTATTTGGAACCCTCACTTTGTCCAGTTTTTATTATTTTTGGAGTTGTTGTCAGGAAGATGCTGCTGCCCATCTCCTGTTTCAGTTTCCCTCTGTCCCTTTTTACGACATCTGCCGGATGGTATGGAAGTATGGATTCTCCTACGACACCACTACATTGGCTTTTTCTTATTTAATAAAAGAATTTGGTTTCAGTCAATACCAAAACCGCATGAGGCTAGAGGTAAGATTCAATTCACACCAATTAGTCATATAGATATCAGGCCAGTAGAGTGTGATGTAGATAACGATTGTAAGGACGATATGTTTAGCCTTGAATCTGTTAAAGTTGAGGAAGAGAATTTCAAAAATGAGAATTTCAATTTTGAAGAAAATTGGAATCATGAAACAGGTAAGATATACACATTTTGTGATATTAATAAAATAAGCTACAAGTTACCAAATGGCAAGTGGTTACTGTAGCCCATGGACACAAAATAATATTATAGTGACATATTGGGGTGGAGTGGGCCGTGTGTTTCAGACGGGTACCAATTTACTCGACAAGGCGTCTTTAACGTTAACATTCTTAATAGAATGGCTGAAGACATTGAGCTATTCTGTTGCAAATTCCGCTCAAAAGCATTACTGCTAGGGGCAAACTGAGCAAGAACACCAAGGCGACCCCTGCCACGCTATCCGTGAATTTCTGCAACATCAGGGGACTTCACTCTAACCTAAACGCCGTCCACTACCATCTCGAGACGGCGAAGCCGGCCTTGCTCTTTCTGACCGAGACGCAGGTTTCCTCTCCGGCTGATATTTCGTATCTCTCCTACCCGGGGTACAAATTGGAGCATTCCTTTGTGCCTCGGGCTGGAGTTTGCGTGTATCTCAGAGAGGACATCTGTTCTCGACGCCTCGGCAGTCTTGAAGGTTCGGACCTGTCCATCCTTTGGCTACGCGTAGACAGCGACGACCATCCGCGCGTCTACGGGTGCCTCTATAGGTCCCATAGCGGTAATGCCGAAACAGACCGACTCATCGACCACGTCCAAATGGCTACAGATTTCTTGCTACAACAGGTCCCATCCGCAGAGATCGTGATCCTTGGCGATTTTAACGCCCACCATGCCGAATGGCTCGGTTCACGTCTAACCGATCATGCGGAGAGATCTGTTTATGACTTTGCCTTGGCATATGGTCTGACACAACTGGTTACTTCGCCTACGCGGATTCCAGATGTGGAGGATCATACACCTTCCCTGTTGGACCTTCTGCTGACCTCTCATCCGGACGGATATCAGGTTTCCGTCGATGCCCCTCTCGGCTCTTCGGACCATTGTCTGATCCGGAGTGTGGTGCCACTCACGCTCCCTTCGCGGTTGCGTTCTGCAGGTTGCCGCCGTGTTTGGCATTACAGGTCGGCGGATTGGGACGGAATGCGGTCCTTCTTTGCATCCTACCCATGGGGGCGGGTTTGCTTCTCGCCGGATGATCCCAGCGCTGTTGCTGACTCTGTCACTGATGTGGTGCTACAGGGAATGGAACTATTTATTCCATCATCTGTGGTACCCATCGGAGGCAGATCTCAGCCTTGGTTTGGCAGCTCCTGTAAGACTGCATTACGCAGTAAGCAGGAGTGTTATCAAGCCTGGGCTGCGGCTTCGGCGACTCGGGATGTAAATACCAGCACACTTTAAAAAAAGTATAACTTCGCCTCCAGGTCCTTCAAAAGAGTTATTGCCAAGGCAAAGTCAGAGCACATAGGCAGAATTGGCGAGAAACTAGTTCGCCTTCCTTCGGGAACCCGTGCATTCTGGTCTCTCGCCAAGGCTGTCCAAGGGAATTTCTGTAAGCCATCACTACCACTGGCCCATGACGCAAAAGACAAAGCCGACCTTTTAGGCTCCCTTTTTGCGTCCAACTCGACTCTTGATGACGGGGGGAAAACACCGCCGACCATCCCGCGGTGTGAGTGCTCCATGCCGGATGTGCTGTTCTCACAGCGCTCGGTTCGCAAAGCACTGCTCTCCCTGGACATCCAGAAGTCGAGTGGGCCTGACGGAATCCCCCCAATTGTGCTGAGGACGTGTGCTCCGGAGTTGGCACCGGTCCTAACGCGTCTTTTCCGGTACTCCTACTCCCAAGGCGTAGTCCCGAATTCATGGAAGACAGCTTTTGTCCACCCGATCCCTAAAAAAGGCGACCGCTCAGACCCATCCAACTATAGGCCTATCGCGATCACCTCCTTGTTCTCCAAAATAATGGAATCCATTATTAACTGCCAGCTCATCCGGTACCTTGAGGATCACCAGCTGATTAGTGACCGCCAATACGGTTTTCGTCGGGGTCGATCAGCTGGTGATCTTCTGGTCTACCTGACCCATAGATGGGCGGAGGCAGTAGAGTCCAAGGGGGAGGCGTTGGCCGTTAGTCTGGACATTGCTAAGGCCTTCGATCGGGTTTGGCACAAAGCGCTTCTTTCGAAGCTCCCTTCCTATGGGCTTCCCGAGAAATTGTGCAATTGGATCACCAGCTTCCTTGCAGATCGGAGCATCAAGGTCGTTGTAGACGGTGCATGCTCTGACTACAAGCCTATTAACGCTGGTGTTCCACAAGGCTGTGTGCTATCACCAACGCTGTTTCTTCTGCATATCAATGATATGTTGCTAACTGGTAACATTCATTGCTATGCGGATGACAGCACTGGTGATGCTCTATACACCGGCCGTGCCAATATTTCTCGGGTAAACGTCGCTGAGTACCGGAACAAACTTGTGTCTGAAGTCGAGTCTTTGCTGAACAAAGTCTCGGATTGGGGGCGACTAAATCTAGTCCAATTTAATCCTCAGAAGACACAAGTTTGCGCGTTTACCGCTAAAAAGAACCCCTTTGTCGTATCTCCTCAGTTTCAAGGCACTCCCCTTCTTGCCTCAGCCAGTATCGGTATCCTCGGAGTCGACATATCGAGTGACGTGCAGTTTCGTGGTCACTTGGAAGGGAAGGCCAAATTGGCCTCTGAAAAGCTTGGCGTGCTCAGCAGAGCGGGACAGTATTTCATGCCGGCACACCGCCTGCTACTTTACAAGGCGCAAGTTCGGCCTCACATGGAATACTGTTCCAATCTCTGGGCAGGGGCTCCCCAGTGCCAGCTCCTTCCACTTGACCGCATCCAACGCAGAGCGGCTCGAATTGTCGACGACCGAGCCCTTTCCGATCGGCTCGATTCATTGGCACTGCGAAGAGATGTTGCATCCCTTTGCATTTTCTTTCGCATCTACCATGGGGAGTGCTCTGAGGAATTGTTCGGATTAATCCCAGCCGCCAAATTTCACGAACGCACATCGCGGCAGAACTCCCGATACCATCCACACCATCTGGATGATTGGCGGTCCACCACTGTGCGATTTAGAAGATGTTTTCTTCCTCGCACGACCTCCTTGTGGAATCGATTACCATCAGCGATTTTTCCGGACCGATACGGCCGGCAACGCATCTGCGATTCCCCTGGTGTTGCAGTTGTTCATGGGCGGCGGTAGTCACTTACCATCAGGTGAGCCGCATGCTCGTTTGCCCCCTCTCCTATAAAAAAAAAAAAACCTTGAGTGAATTCACTATAGGGTAGGATTGTTTACAATTTGTTACAGTTAATGACCACATTTTTGTTATGCATGAGAAGAATTAAACTGTCGCATGAGGTTAAATAAATAAATAATGTCAATGTTACGGCCCACAGCTGCCCCTGCAAAGGTCGCCTTGGCTAGGGCCCATAGTAGCCTCCTCGACGGGCAGCCGCGGGTTCGGGCCCAAATGGCCTTATGGAAAATGTCCTATCATACTACACAATAGGGAGAAGGCTAGGTAAATAAATAGTGCGTACCTGGATACGAAGCTAAGACCGCACCCAAGGCTCGGTCAGGCCGTAGGTAGGGTAGGTGTATGTAAAGTGGTGTTCAACTCAACTAATTCAACGTTCATCGTAGAATCAAACACGTGATATCGACACAAGTAACGAACAGTAGTTCAAAGTTCAACATTCATGTTCCGGATTCATTTATCACTAAATTACAGTTAGGGAACTAACGCGATCTCTTCACGAGTCACAAAGTTCAGCGTTACAAACAACAACTAAATTCCTTCGTTCGATATTAAATACTACGCCGCGATAAGAATTCAAAATCAACCTAGCTGACAAGCAATCTAGCTACAGCTTCAACACACAAGAGGTTCTTAACGCGACGGCACAGTTAAACAATGATTTCCAAAACAATCAACCGGGCGACGCCTTTCAAACGAAATTACTTTAATCAATCAAATACAATAGAAGCCTCTTGTCACGAACTTATAACTTAGACAACTAAACCGAGGCGGTTTTCACGAAACCACAATCCAGTAGCGAAGTAACGCGCACGAATACTGAAAATCTAGACCATAAAACCAAAACTGGTCGCACGAAATCGCTGCCACAGTCGCTCCAAATACGTTACGTTGCGACGGCGCCGCGGCACTAAAACTACTGTACTGCTCGCGCGTCGAGCGACTGCCAGCCGTCGGCGCTACCTCACCTCTACACCATCGGGTGATTCGCCAAGTCGAAGGCGATTGGAGGCGGTCTCAAATGACCATTTTTGGGCCTAAACAGTCAATGTATTATAATTATTCATTATTTGATAAAAAAACGCTGAAAAATGCTCATTATCAATGAGCATAAACGCAGCCAGTATGTATGTCACTAAGATGGATTAATTTCATAGGAATTAATGATGTACTTACAACTGGTAAGCAACCTGTCTTTGCCAATTTTATTAGGAATGCCACAAAGCACGGTCCTGAGCCACCTGCATCCATCGACTTCCTGCATGTCTTACCAGGTCGTCACTCCATCTAGTGGGGGCCGCCCTACACTACGTCTACCAGTACGAGGTTGCCACTCGACAACCTCTCTTCCCCATCGGTTGTCAGTTCTGCGGCCCATTGCCACTTCAGCTTCTTACACTTAGCTTATGAAACATGCAGTATGGTAATGAAAGTGGGTGGCTCAGCCCCATAAGCTTTGTGATGGACTGTAATGATCTAGTCGCTTTAAAAAAATATCAGATATTATTTTATATATTGAGTCAGAATCTGTTTCATTCTAGAGAGTGCTGAAAAACAAGAAGATTTGGAGATTGATGCCTTTGGAGATAAACATACGGCTTTGGATGACGACTTGCCGCTAATTGCATTTGGTTCAAAGAGTAAAAAAGATGACGATGACATAGGTAAATGAATTTATGTTTAAAAACCTGCATCAAAAAATAAAAAAAGTCACCACAAATTCCTCTTGCATCATGTAGTTTGAGATGTACTATACATACAAATTTTGCTCTTAATTACTTTAGTCACATCTAGGTTCTGCAATAAAATCTTGCGCCTAGCGAAGCGAGCGGTTATCAGCTATACTAGAATTATTTTGTGCGTGCAATTTGGGTCATAAATTATCGGAGTATTTCGCTCTCTCTCCCACTCACGGGCTTTATGGGCGAGCATAGTGATGCGCAATATTGTTGTCGATAAGCGTTATCGATAGTGTATTTAGTTTTGTCATTATGTGGGCGTGATAAAAATGAAAAAATTTTTAGATAAAACAACGTATTTATTAACATAATAATAATAATAATTTTAAATAAATTATTAATTAGTTATCTATCTATTAAAAAACTATAAGTAGAAATGTTTCGCATCTAACAACTTACATTAAAAATAAATATAAAGATAATAACATATCTAAAATTAAATTTGTTGTTATCGATAATGGCGTTGCGCCCTCGCAACATGCTTACCGCCCTAGCCGGGCTGAGGCCGAGCTATGATTTATGACCCCAACTGCACGCACAAAATAATTTTACTATAGTGTTTAATATAATGGATTTTCGCAATGTAACGCCTGATTCTATTGATAATCTTTTTGTCTTGTCTTACTACGCGGGCGAAGCCACCTCTGCCGTTTTTTAACATCCTTTCCGATTTCAGTCAACTTTTCGCTTTGGTTTTACTTTTAGGATGTGAGTACGAGGGGTGATCCAAAAGTAATTATTGATAGTCAATATTAAACACGGTGATTATTGTTAAAAAATAATTTATTTTTCCACATAATCTCCTAACAAGTCAATGCATTTAGTCTATTTTTGTTCTAAACCCAGAATTCTCTTAGAAAAAAAAATCTTTATTTTGACCCTCAAAAAAAGCCTCAACAGCGTCCATGACTTCGCTATCGTCAAATTTCTTGCCTCAAAGGTGTTCCTTGAGCCGAGGAAATAGATAGAAGTCACTGGGAGCTAGATCTGGCGAATAGGGCTGGTGTTCGAACAGTTCAAATCCCGTTTCTTGAATGGCAGCCATCGAAACTGCGGCTTTGTGAGGCGGAGCGTTGTCTTGTTGAAACAGCACTCCAGCTCGCAATTTGCTGCGTCTTTTTCTTTAATAGCCTCCTGCAATCTTCTTATTTGGCCTGCGTAGTCGAAAGTATAATCCCGAAATAATGGCTCCCTTTTCCAAATATTCCACCATAATTATTCCTTCAGCTTCCCCAAAAACGGACGGCATAACCTTTCTCGCCGAACTTGGCACTTTGAATTTCTTTGGCGTCGGGTCGTCGACTCGGTTTCATACCGTTGATTGTTGTTTGGTTTCAGGATCGAAATGGTAAGGCCAGGTCTCGCCCACGCTCACGAAACCTTATAAAAAATCTGATCTGCTTGGAACCTTTCGAGATTCACCCTCGAAATGTCGACAAATTTTTGCTTTTACTCGTCGGTTAACATTCTCGGTACCCAACGCGCAGAGATCCTTTTCATATGCAATTCGTTCGCAAGGGTTCTTTGAACACTGCCATATGAGACACCTGTGACCTCAGCTATATGCCTGATGGTCACACTTCGATCTGCCAATACGATATCTTCGACTTCTTTCACTTTATCTTCAGTGAGGGATGTGGATGGGCATTCATCTTCCGTGGATGTTCAGCCCAGCTTAACCTCCTTGGCCCAGCGTGCAATTGTGAAAGGAGCAGAGTCCCTCATATTTCACCAAGTCGCTGTGTATGTCTTTGGTAGACATTTTTTAAACAGAGGGAACTCTCATTTAATTTTTCTCCATTTTGATGTTATCTCTTTGATGATTCGTATTCAAATGAATGTACCTCTCGGGAATCGTAGCCTGTTTATATGATTTTTTTTAATGCTGATCTAGTGGGTACAAAACAAGAAAAAACTTTTTCGGATTTTTATGTGAACTGGAAATAACCTATTATCATTACTTTTGCATCTGTTGTCCAATCTATACAAATAAATAAAATTGAAGTGTCTTTTTACTAAATGCATATGAAAGTAAATACGGTACTTATAACTAAAATAAATTTTAACAATTTTTGTCTGTCTGTCTGTTTGTTCCGGCTAATTTACGAAACGGCTGGACCGATTTTGACGGGACTTTCACTGACAGATAGCTGAGTTCTTAAGGAGTTACTTTTATTTTAGAAAAAGATTTAAGGTTCTGCGCAAACACATAAAAACCCTAACACGCGAGCGAAGTCGCGGGGAACAGGTAGTAGAGGAATTAATGTAGAATAGCGGTTTTTTTAACTTTCATGCAAGTCTTTTCATTGTTGCTCTGCGTCTAGCTTCGATTGTTAAGTTTTTTACATTAGTGCCTGCCAGTAGCTGGAGACCTTCCGTACAGGCACCGACGTTTGGCGCGTAAAAAATAAAATGTCCTAGCGCTTGACGGGTTAGCAAAAATCAATATCTAACTGAGATGTGTAGCCTAATGCTATACTATTCCTATACTATTCCTCCTCCTCATTAATCTGGCTATAATATAGAAAATCATTTTTTCAAATCGGACTGATAGTTCCAGAGATTGGCGTTTTTAAACAAACAAAAAACCCTTCCACTTTATTATATTAGTATAGATTATAAAGTTATAATGCAGTTGTTGTGTTATGTTCATGTTATTTTTATGTTTATGTCATATTCTCTTACTCCTTAGGTGTCGTTCCAACCTTATGAAAGGCAGCCTTAGTGCATGCGATTCATAAAAAGGGCTGGGACCTATCCAAATACAGGCCTATCACCATCACCTTCTAGTTCTCCCAAATAATGGAATCCATTATTAACTGCCAGCTCACGCGTCACGCGGTACCTTGAAGAGCATAAGCTGATTAGTGACCTTCAATACGGTTTCCGTCGAAGCTGTTAGGATCGATAGGACGGAAACAGCGTGTATGGATGTATGTATACATACATACACACCTACTTACAAAATTAATTATTTTATGGGTGCCAGTAGAGAAAGGACCTCTTAATATTCCCGTAAACTTCCACTGCTGAACATGGAAGGATCTCTCCCTACGCAGGAAGGATTTGCCTTGAGAGTCACGCTTGGCATAGCACTGACGATCGCAGAACCAGACGTGAGCACCTCTGGCAATGTCGCCTGGCGCCGGTCTGGATATTTTACATCTGAAGTAAACGAGGTGGTTATACCGCCATCTGTCGGAAGCCATCAGATTTTTCTAGCAAACCCATAGTCGCCTCTTACGAAACCCACGGGACAAAATGTGATGATGAATTCTCTTATACCGCACTTACACGCCATCTTCGACCGAGTGTGTATAACACTAGTTCTGTGTGGAATTCGAAACAGCGATTATTAGATTAATGTAAATGTAACATGGTCAGAAAAATCATTCTTTCCCTCCAAAAATGAATATGAGAGACATTATTCGGAGTAATTGACTAAAATACTTTATATCTGGCAACAATATTTAGTATTATTGTGTAAAATACTATAATTTCTTTATTTCTCCCTGGGTTAACTGATAGAAAATGCCATAATGATTGCAGGTGGGTGATAAATAAGTGCATACAACTTTTCTCCCGTTGCTGATGAGGATATAAAAAAGACCATTTATTGTAATAAGTCTATGGCAGTTGGCTTCGATGATGTGAATGGACTTATGATCACCTTAATTCTAGACTATGTTAGTCCTATTATTACTCACATCATTAACCATTCACTATTGACTGGGGATTGTCCTTCACTTTGGAGAAAAGCATTTGTCATTCCGCTGCCCAAAATAAATAACCCCAGTACTTTTTCTCACTTTCGCCCAATATCGATTCTCTCTTTTTTATCTAAAGTTCTTGAAGCTATTGTCCACAAACAAATTTCTAGTTACTTTTTCAAAAATAACTCTCAGCACCTATCAATCTGCTTTTAGGCCGGGGCACAGTACTACCACAGCTCTTTTGAAAGTTACGGAAGATTTGCCTACTGGAATGGAGAACTCAAAATTGACAGTGTTAGACCTAGTGTTGCCCAAATGCAAGAACAAGACGAGACTTAGCAAGTCTTGGTCTTGGTCTTGCGCCAATACACCTGGTCTTGGTCTTAGTCTTGGTCTTGCAGCAAGAGTCTCGCAAGTCTCGCAATTATCTATTAGCCTATTACTATTTATTAAACGTTACTTTAGATCTTAGAACAACTTAACAGAGTAGGTACATATTGAACTTGAATTAACATAGCCATAGTAAAGACCAACCATATTAATAAATGTCTAAACATTTAATGAGAAATTCGAAAAATCAACTGACACCGGGTGGGGTTTGAACCCACGACCTAAGCGATCCGTGCCGATGCTCTAACCAACTGCGCTATCTACCGTGTCCCACGGCCACGGGCGTCAGTTTCTTAATAAACGTTTACATTTAATAAGCTTACATGTGCTAAAACATAGTTAAACATACATATAAAAACAAATTAATGGCAATAACTACACTGTATTTTAAATAACATTATCTCTCTAGAAAGATATTGATGGACCCTCACCATATATGAAATGGAATAAAAGAGTTATACAATATACAATTTATTTAAATAAAAAATAAAATACGATGCAAATTAAATTACTTCACAGTATGTACACAACAGCTTTGACATTACTGTTACTTTATATTTATTATTTTGACAAAGCATTAATACAAAGTAACTATCTGGCTGACTCATCACTTAAACTATTTCTATGTTTTCTAATTACTAATGATGCTTTAGAAAATAATCTCTCAGCAGGTACTGAAGTTGCAGGTATTAAAAGAAAATCACGGGCCATCTTCGATAAAATCGGATATTTTGTCTCATGCGTCCTCCAACAGTCTAAAATGTCTTCCGAGATGACGGCTCTAGGTTTACCTAGGTACCCCTTCAACTCCTTAATAACTAAGCCTTGAAGACAAGATCCAGATCAATTTTTACACATTTCAAGTGTTTTAAAAGTGCTATGGTGTCAACCATATTTATCAAATGTGTGACGACATATTCGAGCACTTTGTGTTTTAAAAACACATAATTGCAAAAGTCGAGATTTGCAGTGAACTTACTGAACATGTTTATCTTTTAGGTAATAATAATAACAATAATAGTAAGTAATTATTATAAATCCATATAGTTAATTTTATAATAATTACTTACTAGAATAAATTATTATGATACCTACCTATTACCTAATTACAATATTTCTTGCGAGATCAGGATAATGTATTCGTGTCCATTCTGAGCACCCGGAAACTTATTTTATTCTTTGAAAAATGTACTCTGTGGCGACAATCAAACAGTGTCAAATGTAGTGCGTGTGGCGCGGCGGCGACGATTGTATGTGATATCAATAGTAGCCGCCGGCACGTGTATCTTGACCTTGTACTTTCGAATAGCTGCACAATTTCTTTGACAGGTCAGTATCCGACCTTTGATGACGCCGACACAAGACGCCGCGCACTATCAAAGTGCCGATGGTCAAAACTAGGGATGCACTCTTTTTTTCTTTTAATGGATATTTTCATTCGCTATGTATGTTTATGGTATTATTCGTAATGCGCATAAGTCCAATTTTCCAATTTTTTTTTTCATTATATTTTTTTGCGTCTCATAGAGTCCCTAAGCGTATACCCGAACTCCTATACTCCCTGAAACGACACTTAGTCCTAACTGCAAGACGCAAGAGTCTCGCAAGCTTAGTCTTGTTCTTGCGCAAATCTTGCACGGTCAGTCTTGGTCTTGGTCTTGCTAAAAAGAGGCGGTCTTGTTCTTGGTCTTGGTCTTGCAAAAATGCAAGAACAAGACCAAGACTGCAAGACCAAGACCGATTTTGGGCAACACTAGTTAGACCTAATAGATTTCTCTAACGCTTTTAATGCTGTCGATCATGATATTCTTCTAGCTATACTTTATCACCTAGGTTTCTCTTCGTCAGCGCGGGACTGGTTCTCCTCATATCTTCGGGGTCGTCAGCAGGCAATTCGCGTAGGTCAGATTATCTCTGATTGGTGCTCGTTGTCTGCTGGCGTTCCTCAAGGCGGAATTCTCTCTCCTCTCTTGTTCTCAGTCTTTATAAATCTCATTACACCCCACATTCGTTGTTCGTACCATCTGTATGCTGATGACTTACAAATTTATGCTCAAGCTGAGGTGGCATGTATCGATGATGTGATTGAGAAGCTCAACTGTGATCTCAATTTTATTTCTAATTGGTCAAACAGATTTGGCATTAGGGTTAATCCATGAAAATGTCAGGCTATTGTGGTTGGTAGTTCTCGTAGACTGACTAAAATTGATATGAAGGCGTTACCTCCCATAATATTTAATAATGTTATTGTTCCTTACTCAACAACAGTTAAAAACCTTGGCTTAATTATAGACAACACTCAGCTGGCGACCGCATATATATGAAGTGAGCAAAAAGGTCACTAACACTGCGTCATCTGTATCGTCTCAAGAATTTTTTACCGTTAGGGACTAAGGCAATGCTAATACAGACTTAAGTGTTGCCTATTCTAGATTATGCAGATGTTTGCTATGCTGATGCCTTGCAAGAACTTCTAAACAAACTGGATCGACTTTACAATAATTGCATACGCTTCATTTTCGGTTTACGTAAATACGACCACATTTCCTCTTATATTTCTCAACTAAAATGGCTACCTCCGTTATCGTAGACATTTCAGAATACTATGCACGTTATTTTCAGTTTTACACGATCCGTTTGTCCCTGAATATCTGAAATGCAAATTTCAGTATCAAGGTGATACCCATAATCGTTGTCTCCGTTCTACGGAAAAATCTAACCTCCACGTTCCCCTCTGTCACACTAGCTTTTTACACAAATCTTTTACCCCTCATGCGGTAAGATTATGGAATGACCGGGCAGTGTACGCGCAGCCACGAGCAAGGCATCGTTCAAACGCTTGCTCTGGAATTACTATCTAACGTTGCAGGAGTAGTTTGTGGTTTTCCATTTCATTTTTACATTTGTTATTGGAGTTTGAATCAGAAACTGCTATATTTAATTATGTGTGTATATATATATATATATATATATATATATATATATATATATTAGTAGTATGTGTATGATAAGTAGTGTTAAGTAAATATTTGTATGTATGTATTTATATATATTTATGTATATACATATATGTATATATTATGTAGACATAGATATATAAATACTGTATGTCTAATGTAGACATAGATGTTATTTACTTAGCTGTTTGCACTTTGCACCCACAATATTTTCTCTGCTTAGCCTGGAGGTAGACTGGTAGAGAATGCCCTATTGCATTAAGTCCGCCCTGTTGCATTAAATAAAGCATAAATAAATAAATAAGGCATAAACATCGCCCATTGTAAACCGTTTAAGGTGTCTTGCAATAAAGATGCAAAACTTACAATAAATAAAAAGTTTAACTTCAACAAATCATTTTTCAGAAAGGTCTGAGAAGATTAAATCAAATTATACTGATTGTAACATAAACGATGTTCGTGAAGAAGACCTCGATTTTGAAGGCCCTACTATTATATCAAACCCTATAATGAAAAAAGATAATCAACCAATTAATAAAAAAGGAAAGCATCCTGCAAAGATTATGAAAAAGAAAATTTTGAAACAAAAGAGTGTAAATATACTTAAGAAAAAAACATCTGGGACATCAAGTAAATACATTTTTGAATGTGATGGTTGTAGTAAAAAATTTTCAACAAAAGACATTCTCGTCAAACACATTTCATACAGTCATAAGACGCAAAAGAACTCAGACACCACAGCAGTGCGGACACAAGTAGAACAAACTCCAGTGCCACAACAAATAGAAATATTTAATTGTGATATTTGCGAATTTAAAACATCTCAAAAACGTTGCATTTTGACACATCTTAAAGCGCACGTCGCTAAACAAATGTACTGTTGTAATAATTGTGAATATAAATGTATTAGAAAAAGAGATTTGAAAAAACATATGAAAATACACACTGGAGAAAAACCTTTTTCGTGTAATATCTGTGAATATAGATCTATAACAATATTTGATTTGAAAACACATATCAGAATACATACCGGTGAAAAACCTTTTTCGTGTAATATCTGTGAATATAGATGTATTAGAAAATGTGATATGGAAACACATATGAAAATACACACCGGTGAAAAACCTTTTTCGTGTAATATCTGTGAATATAGATGTATTAGAAAAAGTCATTTGCAAAGACATTTAAAAACACACAGTGGTGAAAAACCTTTTTCGTGTAATGTATGTGAATATAGATGTATTACAAAAAGTTGTTTGCAAAAACATATGAAAATACACACCGGAGACAAATCTTTTTCGTGTAATATCTGTGAATATAGATGTATTGCAAAGAGTAGTTTGAAAACACATATGAAAGGACACACCGGTGAAAAACCTTTTTCGTGTAATATCTGTGAATATAGATGTATTAAAAAAAGTCGTTTGCAAGAACATATGAAAATACACACCGGTGAAAAACCTTTTTCGTGTAATATCTGTGAATATAGATGTATAAGAAAAAGTTTTTTGCAAAGACATTTAAAAACACACACTGGTGAAAAACCTTTTTCGTGTAATATCTGTGAATATAGATGTATTAGAAAAACTGATTTGCAAAGACATTTAAAAACACACACTGGCGCAAAACCTTTTTCGTGAGCTATCTGCTGAAATATGTACAATATTGTGTAAACTTGTTTTATATAAATATGTGTGTACCAGATAAAAATTTTTTGTGAATTTGTGATGTAATTGTATAACGAATAGGAAAACCTTTCCGTGCCTTAAGTGCAAATTCAAACTGCATTTGTTCTGAAGATGTTAATTCAATACCTAATTTAAAATTTTGTACAACCGAATTCTATATAAATTATTAAGAATAATTCAAAAACTATTGGTCAGACCTTGATCAAATTTATATGAAACCAGATATGTGAAGCACCAGCTTTCAAATAAAAAAAGAGTTATCGAAATCGGTTCATGCAGAAAAAAGTTATGAGGTAACAAACATAAAAAAGAACATACAGTCGAATTGAGTACCTCCTCCTTTTTGAAGTCGGTAGAAAGCAAAAAATATTGGAACCTTAAAATAAATACCATATGTGTGAATGGAGGTTAGTGGAAACAGACTAGACCCCTCATGTTTTTTTTTAAATTTAAATAATAGTTTACGTTTTACTTTTTTTCACTTCGACGTTTATCGTTACCGATACAGCCTTTAAAACTACTCTGTTGAACATAGGCTTCCCCCGTGGCTTGCGTCATATTTGCCTTAGTTGCCCAATGCAGGTGGGTTGGCAACCGCGGTTTTTTATTATTTTCACTTGTAATCAGGGAGACGCGGCTGTCCATCTTGTAGTTTGTTTCCCTCTGTCGCCTCTTACGACACCCACGGCACGATATGGGGTAGTGGATTGTCTTACACCATCACCACACAGTACCATAACTATATCACATTATGGTGCTGTGTGGTGGTGTCTGTCTGTACGTGGTAGAGCCACGCTGCAGCTATATTGTGGTTGTAGCACGAATGGATCGGTGGGTAGGATCTCGCTCTCACAGAATACCAGCATAAAACAGCAGCTTTCGTGAGAAAATAGTGTTTCGTATGGTGAGTGTAGAGAACTGGAGACGCTTTTAACTGGTAACGAGTCATTCCTTCTCAGTCCTCATGGTGACAACGCATCTGCATTTTATTTCTTAAATGAGGATAAGGATTCTTAACCGATTCGTTACGGCACGGATTTTCGACAACTTTTAGCTGTGGCGGCGAACAAATATTTCATGACACGCCTGTCGTGCCATCAGTCATGTGTAAAAATAATTTTCTTTTTTATGCTTTTTTCACTTTATTAGACCTAATTAAGTTTAGTTGATATCAAACATCAGTTACAAACGGAAGGATACTTGTTTTTAGTGGGTAACTACATGTTTTTACGTGTTTTCTTTGAAATTAAGAGTAATTGACTTTTTTTAATGCAGAGACTACAAACCTTTTGTACTATTTTTTGTTTTATTAAAAAATCTTTTAATATAAGTAGGTACAGCTAAATCACACTGGAAAACTTTGGTTTTTACTAAATTAAATTTTCACCTAATAATAAAATTTGTAAAAAAATCAAACAATCAAGAACCTTAATTTGTAAAAAATTAGGTTTATGATTCATTAATATTTACAAATATTATTTTATTTATTTATACTCTTTGTTGCACACAAAACACTACACAACACAGCAAACTTAAATTTATCAACGAATGTACAATTAGGTGGCTTTATCGCTAAACAGTGATCTCATCTCTTCTCTTCCAGGATCTCTTCCAGGCAAACCTTGGTGAAGGAGATAATTTTCATTTAAATATATAGAAGTGTGCATAAATAGTAGATAAACAAGCATATATTAAAAGTGCATGGTATATACAATATATAAGAAAATGTAATAATCAAATAAAGAATTTTATATATACATATACACATAAACAAATAAATACATACACTTTTATAAATATTTCTGTTATACATTATAACTATATATCATATACATAAACCTTATCAAGAAAAGTAGATATGACAATAAAATATATTAAGTAGAACACATATTTAAATAATAATCTTTAACCACATTTTTGAAAGACTCAATGCTCTGGGCTTTTTTAATTGTTAAAGGACGCGAGTTCCATAATTTGATTGCTTTGACACAAAAGGAGGAATGAAAAAATTTTGAGTTGTGAGCAGGCATACGCAGTAAAAGTTTATCAGCTATTCTGGAATGATCTTCATTTGCGCCCAATAAATATTATTATTATTAGGCGCAAACAAAGATCAACAAATAAAATAATATAATATAAAATAATAATAATATTAAATATTATATAATATTATTATTTATTATTATTATTATATATAATATTTAATGTTATACAAATGTAAAAGGAAAGTGAAGATTTGAAAACGTCTAATTAGTAAGAATAGCAAAACAAGTGTATTCAAAAGGAAACAAACGCCGGCGCTATACGGCGGCGGATTGACAAAAGACTATTTATTAGCGAACTTTTTTATGCATGACCGGTTTAAAACTGTTTCAAGCAAAAATAAACATCATACCATATCACAAGAGCACATGGTACTTCGTAGGTCTATTCGGCCATATGATAGTAATAAGACGGCAGTTCAAGCATTTTAAGCAAAATTAAACAATAAGACAAACGTATTGTTTTTTTTTTAACAGGAGACTTGTTTTCAGAAATTTATTTACAACTTGAGTTTGTGAGCGATCACAATGAGTGCTATTATTTGTTACTTATTAGACTATTTTTCCACAACATGATTTAAAACCCACAAAGTAAAAAGAGTACCATGTACAATAGTAAAAAAAGGTTGTCAACCCCTAAAAATTTCAAATTTTCAAAATATCCAGAAACGAAGCCGCAGACATGAACTACTTGCAAAATAATGACTATTTTGTTCTGGATAAATTTTCCAAAAACGCAATTTGAGCGAGTTATAACGATTTTAAAAAAGACACGACACGTGTGTCATACGCCACACAAAAGTAATCGATGGCACGCCTGGAGTGCCATCCGCACTACAAAAAAAAATTTGAATTTATATTCCTCCCGTACAAAACGCCAATTTCATATGTAAAGACCTAATTGACCATACCATAATTAACGCCACTTGTAAACAGTGCAATATATAGTCGCCTACAGTACCATCATTGCATCCACCGTCCCAAGTATTATAGTTTACCCTACACAGAATAGTTAAAGTCAGTCATAGTTCGTTAGTTAGTTTTTTTTTTTTTTATATAAAATTAGGGTGGCAAACGAGCACACAGTACACCTGATGGTAAGTGGTTGCTGTGGCCCATAGACATCTGCATCTATCTTCGTTAAATTAGTAAATTGCATGTGCGTTGTCACCCGTGAGGACTAAGATGGAATGCCTCTTTTCCAGTAAAATGGGTCTCCGGTTCTTTACACTCACCAAACGAAACACAGCAGCATTAAGCTGCTATTTTACGCTGGTATTCTGTGAGGGCGTGGTCCTTCCCTGGTCGAGCCGACCCATTCGTGCTACAACTATACTATTAATATAGCTATATCATGGCTCTCCACGTCTATATAGATAAGATAGGTCGAATCTGTACTAAAACCAAATCAGAACGCCCCGACTTCACGTAGTCGTGTCTGTCCTACCCCTAGTGTTTTTGTAAAGCAGTAGGCGCGGAGGGAGTGGAGCTCCCGCCCGCTGTGTTAAAACGCAGGCATCCTTGTGAACCGTAGAGGCTGACGAAGGCGACCAATAAGCCGAAGCTGCGGAGGTGTGCATGGGTGCTTGTGATTTGCTACGCAAGGGCGAAGGGGCTGCACTCCCCGCAGCGCCGAAGCCGTTGCAGAAGTAACTATGTCAATATTCCTGCAACTCAAATTTCAACAGTTTGTTGCGGTGAACATTTTAGAGCGACTAATTTTTAAACTTGGTACCTAATTAGCCAATAATTTGGCTTTTTTTTTTATTAGGGGCGTCTTGTCATTGCCTTTACTCGCAGCACCTAATTAGCACTTAATTCCTTGCTATTAATATTTATCGTATATCTAATAACTTCATTGCGTTGCTAGCGAGATGTTTTGCTAGCAACGCAAAATTTCAACAGTTCGTTGCGGTGATAACTTTAGAGCACCTAATTTTTAAACTTGGCACCTAATTAGCACCTAAAATGCCCCGAATTTTGGGTTTTTCTAAATGCAAATTCCTGATTTTGTGTTGCTGGCAATACACAACTTGTAAAAACGAAGATCACGAATGAAATGAAGACATATCTTAATGGGCAAGCATCCAAGCTAAAAAATCTTAATAAAACGTAATGGAGATTTGATGCTGTCAATGTCTGTCAAATTGAGAGCTTTTTGGCGGGAAATTGACCGGTGGCGGTTTGCTGCTCCTGTATTATTGTTTAAATAATGGTTTGAAGTGGACTTTGGTATGTAAAAGTGGTGCGATTTTGTGTATTAAGTGTCTGCGCATGTGAACTATTAGTGGAAACTGTGAAACAAGTGCTCCGATAGTGATAGATTCTCAAGATAAGCTGTTTGTTTGCATAGGCGCCTTTAGATACCATCGCCAACTGTCAGCTGCCTGCTGGCTCAAGTTGCCGTCAAAATCTCCCAAGGGCTGCACAATGTGACGCATCAACATATTGTAAAGCAGTGAACTATGAAGGATAATTATACATGAAGACGAGGCTGTATAGCATAGTTCCTTTGCCTGCTATCTCGAGCGAATAATAAGAACAACAAACAACACCAACTGTGCCGACTGGTGCCGGTGGTGCCGACGAACTAGTTCGCATAGTTCACCTAAAGGAGCGCTCAGTGTGACCATATGTGGCAGGTTCCTGCCATTTTGGCAGGATTGGCCTCTTATTTTAGCCTGTGGCATGATCGGTTGACGTTTTATAAAACCTGGCAGTATTTGGCATTATTGGGGTATTCAAAATATATTTCATCATGGCAACTTAAAATGATGAAAATGGTAACCCCTAGATACTTCGCCAG